CCTTCCTATTATTGCTTATACTCTCTCTACAACAAAATTAGAAATAAGGGCAAAATAGTTTCTGCTGGGTATTGAGGGGGTGGGGGGGAGAGGGATTGGGCAGAGTGGGTGGTAAGGGAAGGGGTGGGGGCAGGGGGGAGAAATGACCCAAGCCTTGTATGCACATATGAATAATAAAAAATAAATAAATAAATAAAATTATTGAAGGAGAAAAAAAGTTGTAGTGTTCAATTTATAACTTGTCTTCCCCCCTTACTTAGTTTAATAACAATTACTTTATAGTTTCTGATTTTATAAATTACATACTTTCTCCTTTGTTCCTTCAAAAGTCTTGCAAGTTATGCCAACAAATAGTAGTGCTCCCTACAAGTAACATACATAAGATTTCAGTAGCAAACTAGAACCTACATCTTCTAAATCCTCAGATAACTTTATTAGTATCATGTCCTAGTGTGTGCTGTGTGTATGGTGGTTGTTTAGAAGAATTATAATAATCCTAGAATTAGCTGCTTTTGTTTAACTCTAAACCTTTAAAAATACACTTTAAGCTATTTTTAGTTTAAAAATAATTTTAAAGACAAGCTGGGGAGTAATAGGATGTTGGATGAAGGGGAGAGAGAAAAATAAAGAATGATACTTAGTTTTGGGGGTTTTTTTGGGTCCAAGGACTCCACAGCGGGTGTGGTTTATTGGAATGCTGGAAGCAGGTGGGTTTAACTACAAATTGTGGCTAATATTCTTTCCAGCATTAACAAAATATTGGCTCCTGTTATAACCAATAACAATTAAGATTTGACTAGTTATTTTTGTAGTTAGTGGTGATATTTTAAATAATAAAGTTATTTGTATGCAGTTAGTGGTAGTCCTTATTCAATGGAGTTAAATTAATATAAATCAACTATTGAAACACATTTCTTCAAAAAAGAAAACCCAATATAGGATTAGCATCTCACTTTTTTTTCTTCTAATTAAAACATTAGACAAAACAAAGCTACCCATTATTTGATAGTATCCTGATTACAGAAGTCTTTTACTGCCTTTCTTTCCATTGACTGTCCCAAAGCTTAGAGCTCATTGGGAGGTTTTAACTTTCTCTGGAATCTTTTGTTGGTACCTTCAACAAAATGAATAATTACTTTTTATGTTCCTTTCTCACTTATTCTAACAGTGTATTTTGTTTGTTGTCTTTCTTCTGTTCTCTGCCCACCTCAGCGTTGAGATTAATAGCTAAAACACTTAAAAATGAGGTCCTTCCAAAAATCTACTGCTTTACAGTCTTCCTTCTTTCATGTTTTTCCTATAATAGGCTCTTGCCAAAAAAAAAAATAGAAGTTAGGTCTAAAATGCTAAATTAAAAGTAGTATTATACTGGTATCTCTGACCCATTTTCAACATTCTTAAAGTAAGAAAAAATGAGATTTGTCACTGCTATATTGTTATGCCCCCACAGCATACATGTGCATATATGCTTTGTACTAGGTAAGTGGCTATGTCTGGGTTTGGCAGATCAATGTTGTTGTAAGGGGACATGCTCCATAGGGTAAAGGAAAGGCAAAAGGATGTTCATCCAATTCTCTCCCTGCCTCTTCCTTCATATCTTTCTAATCCCATACTCCAAACAGTAAATACTGTGTCCTGCAGTGTGTCTTTTCCCTTACACCGATAGTGGGTGTATTCAATCAGTAACACTACCTGTTTCTTGAAAGGTCATTCTAAGTCTCATGTTTTGTGGCTTGCAAATCTTTTATTAATTTAAGAATAAGACATTTTAGTAGAGAATCTTTTAGAGGTAATAAATTAACTGTTCCTTGTTCTTCAGTAAGTAAGAATGAAAATTAAACTCATTTTAACTGATTAATTATCCAAGGTTCAGTAACTAAAATCTGCATGTGTATAAACTTGCCCATTTTGGAAGGGAGAACATCCCTAAGGTGATAGAAATGTTTTAATTCCAACATAAAAAACTGTCAGGTTGTCCTAATCAATTCTGGTCTCTTGCAGTCCACAAATGGTATATGATTTTTTTTTAAAAAGCAGCTGGAAAAGTGAAAATTCTTAGATCAAAATTTCTCTCTCTCTCCTCTGTCTCTGTAGTACTGGGGATCGAAACAGCGTCTTGCATAGGCTATCCAAAAACACTGTTCCACTGAGCTATATCCCCAACCCTTTCAATCCACTCTACTTTTCTTATAATAAAGCACTGTGCATGTTTTCCAGTGACTTAAATGCTATACACTTTTATCCTTTAGGATAAAAGTAAACATTTTTCTTTGGTCTTGTGAATTGCAGTCTAAAGTGTAACAAATTAATGTTTAAGTGTAATAGGTATTTTTCACTCATAAGTACTAAACTGTTCACTGAAATTTGTTTCTTCTTACTAGGTTTAAGTGGAAACCCTGCAGATTTAGAAAGAAGAGAAGCAGTGTTTGGAAAGAACTTTATACCTCCTAAAAAGCCAAAAACCTTTCTTCAATTAGTATGGGAAGCATTACAAGATGTCACTTTAATTATATTAGAAATTGCAGCCATAGTATCATTGGGCCTTTCTTTTTATCAACCTCCAGAAGGGGATAATGCACGTAAGTAAATAGGGGGCAAAAAAAGGCTTTTGTGTGCAATGCTAGTTCAGCTCGTTCATTTACTCAATTTATAATAACAGGCAGCCACACATTCAATATTGTTTGCTGTGTGCTAGGCAGTGTTTTGAGAGTCCTAAGTATATTACCTCAGATAGTTTCCACAATAATAGTGTTAGTGTTGTCTGCATTTTTCAGTGAGGCACAGAGTTGTCTCACAGTGAGCACATGTGCAGAGATATTACATGTGGACATACACATACATGATTGCCTATACTGTCACAATTCTCACATTTTTAGAACACTTGTGAAACAATGCCAAGGTTTTAGTTTTTTACTTCTGTTTGAAAATGTCATTATAAAAGCAGAATTCTATTCTCTTCACAAATCTGTGACTTCAAGTAGTAAAATCGTTTTTTTATACATAACATTTGGGTAATTTCCTTTCCATTTACATGACAAGTTGAATATCCCTTCCAAAATGCTTGGAAGTATCTTGACTTTTACTTTGGGAGAGGGTGCAGATTTTGGAATATTTATGTATGCATAATGAGATATCTTGGGAATGAGACCTGTTTAAACACCAAATTTATTTATGATTCATAAGTAGCAAAGAAATTTTAATGCAATTATTTTAAATGATTTTCTGAATGAAGCCAGGTTGCATGGTGTGGAATTTTCCACTTATAGCATCAGTTCATGCTCAAAAATTTCAGATTTTTGAGCATTTGGATTTATTTTATTTTTATTGGGGTGTGTGTGTGTGTGTGTGTGTGTGTGTGTGTGTATTAGTAGATTTTGAAATCAGGTCCTTCCCATATTCTAGGCAGGTGCTCGAAGCCATGCCTGCATCCCTTTTTTGCTTTAGTTATTTTTTGGATAGGGTTTCATACTTTTTGCCCAGGCCAGCCTGGGCAATGACTTAGCTAGCCTCCTGCATAACTAAGATTACAGGTGTACTCCATTGTGTCAGCTTAGTTGTTAAGATGGGGTTTTACTAAGCCTCCAACTGAGATCTCTCAGTCTTTGCTTCCCAGGTAGCTAGGATTATAGAACTGAGTTCCCATATCTAGCAGCATTTTGGATTTTTGAATTAGGGATGCTCATTCTGTAAAAAGTATCCTGACCTATAGTGAACTATTATAGAATGGATGGATCTGCTTTAATTATGGCTACAAGTGGTTTTGTTTTGCTCCTTCTATGCTTTTTATTTTTAAAATTTCTTATTTTGCCTTTAAAATTTTTATTTTAAATGAATATTACCATTAGTATAATCTGTAGCAGTTAGATAATCTAACCTGGGTTTTGGTTACTGTATTCAAGTAGATGTAAAGTTATCCACTAATGTTTTATATGTCAGAGGTCTGATTCACCATAATATTTTTGTTTGTGAAAGTTTCATTCTATGCCTTTTAAAGCTATAACAAATAAGTATTGCTAATTCTCAAAGTTGGTTAGGTAATAGTGCAAAGTAATTCCTTCAGAGGCTTGGGTAAGGTTCATGGGAAAATTTTTTCTTTTTCTTTTTTAAGAAAGTTGGTCACAGAGTAAGCCAATTTATGAGATCTGTGTGAAGTAGGTTTCTCAGTGACAACGGTGTTGAAATCTCGAACCAGAGCCATCTTCATTTTTTGTACTATCCCCCCCAGCTGAGGCAACCAAACTTGTACCCATGTTTGTCAAGTGTCCCATTGGGTAAAATTGCCTCTGGTTGAGAATCACTGATGTAAATAAGAAGGCATTTAGACAATACTGTTATCAGTATTTGGGCAAATTATTTTTACAACTTCTATTTATTTTTATTAAATACATAGTACATAATTTGGCGTGAAAAAAAGGGCAGGGGGAGACAAACTAAAGGAAGTAACATTCATTGAAAACCCTACTTTATTGCGATTTCTGCTATAGTATGGAGTGACGTTTACTACCGACCAGGCCTAGGAAAAATCTTTTTGAAATCCAAGCTACTTCATTTATAGAATGTGGTAACTACAAATTTTCCCGAATTTGTTAGGCGATTCCTGTATTAGAATCCAACTGAGAAGATAATTTAGAGCTATCACAAGGCCCTTTCATTAACTACTAGAAATTAAGGGAATTACATGTAAAGATATTTCTGTACTTTGGTGAAAAGTTATTTATCTTTCGTACTTTGTATTTCTAAGATTTATAGGGGTACTGCAAGTATCATTTCATCCTGTTACATTTGACACTAAGAAGTAGTAACTTGCATTTAAAAAAGGCCATTATTTCTAAATTTGCAGTCAGGTAGTATTTGGCATGAAAATATAGTACACAGTATATATAAAATTTGTGATCATGAGGAGTATCTGGGTACCAGCGATTTCTCAAACTGTTTTGGTGTCAAGGTGCCTTTACACTTTTTTTTTTAATTTGGCACCACTGGGATTTGAATTTGGCTTCACATTTGCTAGGCAGGCACAAATATATATGAGCCATGCCTTCAGCTCCCCTTTACACTCTTGGTGTTAAGAACTCTGTAGAACTTTAGATTATGTTGAGTAATAGCTACAGGTATTTTTTGTATGCTAAAGAGGAGAAATTTTAAAATGTCAATGTATTCCCACCACACAAAAGGTAACTGTCAAGTTATAGATATGTTAATTAAATTAATAATGGTAATTATTTCACAATGTATGTATCAAAATATTTCATTGGAAACTATATAGTTTTTGTCAGTATATCTTAGTAAAGCTGAAAATTTTATCAATGTACTTTAGAATAAGCCTGTCGCATATTAACATAGATGGCATTGTAACTTTCCTCAAAACATAATTTTTAAGTGAAATAATGAAAAGAGTGCTGGTATTTTTCATTTTAGGTTATCTTTAATGTCAGACTTAGTTGAAGAGAGCTAGGTTCTCCTACTTGTCACACTGTCCCATATAATGTGATATTTAGGAAATTCTATTATACGTTAATAAAAGATGGGGCAAATAATGACTCAATGATATTGTGAAAATAGGGTTGATCTCAGAGATCATTCTGGAGTTCCTGGACAGCACTTTAAGAACTGCTTCTCTGTATTACTAACGCACACTCTGAGGAACAGCTCACAGAGTTTTAAAATGGAATATTTGCCTTGTGGTATAGACTATAGATGGATTTTAGATTGTGCATATCTCTCGGTTGAATATATTTACAAGACAGTCCCTTTGATAAAACAGATTTTTTAATGCTGTATTTTCACTTGAACTGAAAACATTGAAGTGCTTTTGTCTATAACTGTAAACTTGTAGTCCTTTTGTAATTGATGTTAGTCTTTTTCCCTAGAGCCCCTCTAAAAGTTTGTAATGGTCATGAGTAGGAAAAGGATTCAATTTCTAGAAATATTTTACTACTGTCTATTTTAAGATCATCCTGATCTTATCTGTAGAATTATATATGAAGTGAAATAAGTCATCGATTTGTTAAAAGCTCTCTTTAGCAATATTCAGTTCAGTGAAGTTTTCACAGTTATCTCACAGCTCCTCCATAACCTCTGTTGCTTTGGTCTTAAACTTTTTTGGTTCTGTATTACATCAGGAAAAATTTGAACACATATCTTCAAGTGGTATATCTATTAGTTTTATATATGTACGTGTGTATGTGTAATGTATGTATTTTTAAGAACATCCAGAAGTATAAGTTGAAAGAATAAAAAGGAGTGATAAAGTTTGAATTTTTGATTGCTTAATAGCTATAAAACACTAATGTTAATGTAATTTGGGTCTAAAATTTATTTCTCAACTTGGTTTTTTTTTAGAGCTGAGAATACACTGCATTATATAAATTCGAGAGTAAAAGATTACCCACTAAATCAGTAGTCATTCTCAGTCCCATCAATCAGTTACACAAGTTTTTGTTGCAAGGTGACTGATAAATTCTATTTTCTGATGTCAGTCTGTTCTTGCACACTATTATTATGTATTACATTTTTATGTTTTTAGTAAATGATACAAAAAGCCCACTCGTTTGGAATTTTAGCTGTTTCCAGGTTGTTGAAACTATTCAACATGGTATTTTCAACATTCATCTCTTCTTGAATCCAGATTTGCTCTAATTCAGAGCGTTAATCTCTGACCTGTGGAGGGGGAGGGTTGAGTGGCTGTTATTCTTACAATTACTGTTTAAAAGAATGTAAACCATAATTCACTCAGTTATTACCCACAGTGATATAAATGGTCATTCCTTGAGTTTGAAGATATTTAAAATACAAGTTCTAGTATTTGAGTTGGAGCAGGGGACAATACTCAGCGGGTCATCCTGCTTCTACCTCGCCTATCAATAGCTGAATCCTATTAATGTTTTTGTGGATTTTTTTGTGTGTGATTATTCACTTCATCCCCAGCGGTTCTTGCTCTTATTCTGTCTTTACTCTCTTTAACCTGTCTCACACACCAATCTAACATTAATTTTTTTTTTTTTTTGGTATTGGGGTTTGAACTCAGGACTGTGCTGGTTATTTTGGAGATAAGAAGAAGATAAGAGTCTTGCTTTTTTGCCCTGGCCATCCTGGACTGAGATCCTCCTATTTTATGCTTCCTGCTGCCACTCGGATGACAAGTGCATGCCGCCACTCCCAGTTCTTTTCCCATTGAGATAGGGTCTTGTGAGCATTTTTTTTTTTTTTTGCTGGGGCTGGCCAGGAACTGCCCAGCTGCCCACATAGCTTGGGATAACAGGCATGTACTGCTGTGCCCAGCTGTTGGTTGAGATGGGGTCTTGTGACCTTTTCCCCCAGAACAGCCTTGAACCATATGATCCTCCCAGTCTCAGCCTCCCAAGTAGCTAGGATTACAGTTGTGAGCCACTGGTACACAGCTTTTATTCTCTTATTTTCCAAAGTGCTAGTTGTAGACCACTGAATTGATTTTAGACTCAAAAGTAGATTACAGCCCAAAGTCCGAAATACACCATTCCATTATTCTTTCTTTACTGACAATTGTACTGACACTGTAGTTTTGGGTGTTTGAGGTTTTTGAGTGGTTCCTACTCACTGATTCTTTCCTGAACACTTTTTCTGCCATGAGCATTTGTACTGACTAATCTCTCCATGGACTTCTCTTCCCATAGATCTATGTGGCTGGTCCTCTATTAACATTTGGCTCCTAGCCCAAATGGCATGGATACTTTAGAGGGACTTTGGCTCATTCAACCTCAGTTAGACCTCTATTTGATAGATAGATAGACGTGATTACCATGTTTTCTTTGTGAACTTACAGATACCTGAAGTTAGTCATTCATATATTACTATCTAAATTCCTTGTACACCATCCCTACCTCAATCTGAATGTGGATTCCATGAGGAAAAGGATCTTGTTACTGCATTCTGACCTCCTAAAATAGCCTGTCACCTAGTAGATGCACATACAGTGGAATCAACAAGTAGCACTTTCCTTAACTTTTTACATTATAGAAGCCAAGCTTTGGTCACAGTGCAGTAAAATTGACGTGTGATTTATGTATTACACATAACATTTTAACTTTTCATGTATGTCTTGCTCACCATATGTAATCATTAATATACTAACCATTGGTTAAGTGTGAAGAATATGCCAACCACTGCTTTATAGGTGTTACACTTATTTCACAACAACTCTGGAGTAGGTGGTGGTAGCCTCATTTAACAGAGGAAGAAACTGAGTCTCAAAAATAAGTTCAGGCATATATACTTTACTTTATTTCACTTCACTTTATTATGTTTCCCTGGATTTTGCATTTTTTTATCTTTTACAAATTGAATTGGAGGTTTGTAGCAACTCAGTGTCAAGCAAATCACTTGGCTATTGGCATCATTTTTCCAACCGCATGTGTTCACTTGTATCACATTTTGGTAATTCTTGCAGTATTTCAGACTTTTCACTATTTTACCTGTTATGATGGTCTGTTATCAGTTATCTTTGATGTTGCTATTGTAATTGTTTTGGAGTACCACAAACCACACCTGTATATGACAGTGAACTTAAACTCCCATCTGATAGTCCCATAGTAAGTAACTTGTAAGTATTCAGGTAAAAGGAAGAGTAGCATGTCTTTAAACCTAGAAATGATTAGGCTTAATGAGGAAAACATATCAAAGGCCAAGGTAGACTGAAAACTAGTCCTCTTTGTGCCAACCAACCAAGTTATGAGTGCAAAGGAAAAGTTCTTAAGAGAAACTAAAAAGGTTACTCCAGTGAACACATGATGATAACCAAGTGAAAGAGCCTTAGTCCTGATGAGGACAGTTTTAGTGGGTTGGATAGAGTATCAAACCAGTCACAGCATTCCTGTTAGCCAAAGTCAAAGTTAGAACAGGGCTCTAACTCTCTGTGAAGGCTGAGAGGAGTGAGGAAGCTGCAAAAGAAAAGTATGAAGCTAGCCAGGATTGGTTGATGAGGTTTGAGGAAAGGATACTTCTCAATAAAATAAGCAAGGTTAGGCAGCAAGTTATGCAGAAGACCTGCAAGTCCACAAGACCAGCAAGTTATCCAGAAGGTGGCTACACTAAATGCAGTTTAGTGTAGTATAGTTTAGGACTTTCAGAGCTAGAAAGGAACAGTCAATTCCTGGGTTCAAAGGACAGGGTCACTCTCAGAGGTTAATGCAGCTGGTGACTTTTTAAGTTGAAGCCAATGTTCGTTTTACCATTCCAGAAATTCTTAAGAATTATACCAAATCTACCCTGCCTGTGCTCTGTACATAGAACAAGAGAACCTGAATGACAGCACATCTGTTTACAACATGGTTTGCTGAGTAATTTAAGCCCACTGTTGAGACTTAGTACCCTGGGGTAGGGAGTTGGGGAGATTCCTTTCAAAATATTACTGATTGACAATGCACCTGATCACCCAAGAGTCTAATGAAGATGTACAACCAAATTAATGTTTTCACATCTGTTCTACAGTCTGTGGATCAAGGAGTAATTTTGACATTTCAAGTCTTCCTACTTAAGAAATATGTTTCATAGAGCTATTTATACCCCAGATAGTGATTCCTTTGATGGATGTGGGCAAAGTAACTTGGAGGCCTTAGGAAAGAGTTCACTAGTATAGATGCCATTAAGAACATTGGCAACTCATAACACTGACAAGACTTTGGAAGAAATTGATTTGTGGATGATTCAAACTTCAGAGGAGGAAGTAATTCCAGATGTGATGCATCTAGCAAGAGAAGCAGAACTAGAAGTGGAGCCTAGAAATGTGACTGAATTGCTGCAGTCTCATGGCAAAACTTGAATGGATGAATGATGGTTTCTTGAAATGGAGTTTACTGGTAAAGATACTGTGAACATTGTTACAATGACAAGGGATTTAGACTACTACTTGTGGGCTATAGGTGTGACTCAAGTGGTAGAGTGTAGAATAGTATGTAATAAACTTAGTTGATTAAGTAGCAGTAAGGTTTGAGAGGACTGACTGCAGCTTTGGAAGAGATTCTACAGTAGGTTAAATGATATCAAAGAACATCAAATGCTAGAACAATCTTTCAGGGAAACGAAGAGTTAACACTGTCATCTTATTTTAAGAAATTGCTGGTTCCACCTCAGTCTTCAATAGCCTCTACCCTGATTAGTTAATAGCCATCAACACCATGGCAAAATCCTCCACCAGCAAAAAATTAGGACTTGCTGAAGACTCAATGATCTTTAGCATTTTTAGCAATAAAATACTTTTTAATTAAGGTGTGTACATTTTACATGCGTAATAGACTACAGTATATTAAGTGTTAAGTAAATTTTATAGTTAATATTTTATGTTAAGTTTTTTGAAAACCTCAATTTTATTGCAATATTTGCTTTATTGCTGTGGTCTGGAATGAAACCCCAGATGTCTCCAGGGTATGTCTGTAACTTGCCCTTGGGGTAAGAATTGATCTCTTCCAGTATGCTTACTCTTAACTAGTACCCTAATTACCTCCTTACCTGAGGTTGAGAATCTCAGGGGCAGGGAACTTGAAATTGACACAGTAAAAATAAAATGTTCAGAGCCGTAAGTAAAACTGATGAAATAAAACAAATAGTTAACACTAAAATACGTTGTCATTAATTCAAAATCTCTTTGTGATAAGCATTTTCTTTCTTTCCAAATAGTTTGTGGAGTAGTTTCTGTTGGGGAGGAAGAAGGTGAAGGTGAAACCGGCTGGATTGAAGGAGCTGCGATCCTCTTGTCAGTGGTGTGTGTGGTGTTAGTGACAGCTTTCAATGACTGGAGTAAGGAGAAACAGTTCAGGGGTTTGCAAAGTCGAATTGAACAGGAACAAAAGTTCACCGTCATCAGGGGTGGTCAGGTCATTCAGATACCTGTAGCTGACATTACTGTTGGGGATATTGCTCAAGTGAAATACGGTAAGTAAAGCAAATCAGCATATCTAACTCTAAACACATAAATTTTTCTGATGTCCTTTACATTTTAACATCTCCATGCTTCTTGTTTTAGGTGATCTTCTTCCAGCAGATGGCATACTTATCCAAGGCAATGATCTTAAGATTGATGAAAGCTCATTGACTGGCGAATCTGATCATGTTAAAAAGTCGTTAGATAAGGACCCCTTACTTTTATCAGGTATGAATTTCTTTCATGCACTTTGAGCCTTTTCCTTCCCTAAGAGTAACTAATATGAAGAGGAGTCAGTATTTTATGCTAGCTAGCTTACCCCGATAATCATTAGACACTTTCTCCTCTTTGTAAGATGAGAGACATTACAGATCTTGGAATCCAGAGCTATATTTTACAAATGAGGAAACTTGAGTCTAAAAATCTGAGAGATTTAAAAGTCAGTGTTAGTTAATGTTAATGTAGTGATAAAACTCAGATATAAGCCTCATGATACATACTGATTTTTCTGGGTCACATTTATTCTTAATGCCTGTTGAAGTGTCAAAGAGTGACTGTGGGTTCAAAGGAAATTAATGGATTTTCTGTGATACACAAAAGACACGGTTGTTTGTGTGTGTGTTTAAAGAACTGATAAAAACCTTCAAGTATACTCCCTCATTTAACTGGCAAACAATGAGTCTGACACAAACTGTTTATAGTTACATGACTAACCAACATTAGGGAAAGGAGTATTAAGTCACATGTAGTAAATTTGCATGTTTAAGAATGGAGAAGAGAAGGATTTATGTAGGTAAGGGGGGAACTAGGTCTACTCAGGATATCGTCATAGCTTATGTGTAATTAACTTGGATTAAGTTTAGCTGGAAGTGAAATTGAAGGGATGATGCAAAAAACAGCTTCCTTCTAAAATGTGGAATGAAAAGCAGAGTACCACAAATTGACTCCAAAAGCAATGTTAATTCTTTAAATTTGAATTTCTCAGGTTCATCCTCTTAACTTTCTAGTATTCTTCATAGAATTTACACAATTTTTATCAGAACTGAATTTTATACTAGAATTTGAGAGAAGCCAAATGTTGCCTATTGTCTTCTATTTCCACTATCAGATGCTATTGAAACACTAACATTATATACATTGTCAGAAGATTCCTGCTGATGTAGCTATTTAATAAGTTGGCAACTAT